TTTCTGTCCCTTATATCTTATCCAGGCTACCTCTCACACCAACGGTGGGGCAGCTTTCATTCTAACAGTGAACAGTGAATCAATCCTTGATCCAAGCAGTGCACACCCTAGATCCAGCCACCCCTGAAAAGCCCCACCTATGACCACCTGAGGCTTTGGGGAACATCAAGATACAAGCCATAACATGGAGCCTGTCACAGTCTGGTCCTGTTTTCCAGTCTTACCCGTCTCCACCTTACAAATATACCCTAACCTCAGCCTGTGCAAGCCAAGTGGTCCTGCCTTCCTGCCTTCCCTGGGCCCTGTAGCTCGTCTCCCCTAGGAAGCCTTCCTTCATTCCCCTCAGCCAAGAGTCATGAAATCTTCCTTGGAACTTACTTTTCCTTTTGTTTGTAACTTTGTAACCTAGCTTTGTTCTGTGAGGAAGGGTGAGTTAGAGAATGCTCTTAAGCAGTAGGCAACACGTTCAAATAATACCTTAGGAAAATGGATCAAGATCCTATACAGTGCAGAGCAAGAAGGCACTGCAGGTGGAAGGTCAGGCAGAAAGACTTCTGGTGGAAGAGCCTTTGGAGGAATGGGGGTAGAGTCTTCCTAGGTTAGTTTTCCCTCTCTGCCTGCTTTTGTCTGGCACCTGGAGAATCAGTTCTTGGGATTTTCCTAGCATGACTCAGTGAGTCAACGGGAAAGTTAAAACCAGGACCCTGTGCTCTGGCCCCATCATGGACCCTCGTGTTCAGCGCCCCTCACCCCCTTTCCTTTTCCCTCTCCCTGCGGCATACTGCTTGCTCTCTTGGCCTGCGGGGACCCGAAGGAGGGCCTTCCACTAACTGCAGCCTGTGTGAGCCAAGTACTTGGCCCAAACGCTGGGCTCACCAAGCATCCGTAAGCCTAGCAGGTGAGCAGCACACAGAAATGCCTTCTGTTCTGCTGGGGGAAGCCATGAGCCTGTTTTGTCCATTAACCTCTACAGCAGCCCTGGGAAGCAAGTCCTGTTTCAAGCCCCATTTTGCAGTGAAACTGAAGCTCAGAAAAATAACAGACTAAGCCAGGCATTCACTGGGAGATGGACTCAGAATTTGAACCTGGCTCTGACTCTAAGCCTGGGCCATTCCCCACCACATAGAGAACAGTAGAAAGGACATGAAGGGCCCAAGGCCACAACCCCCAGATCCACTTAGTCAGAAGCCAGCAGCAGGGCCCCAGAGGTGCCTAGTCAGGCCTGCAGTCCCCAGGGCATCTGAAGCTTGGGGTCGCTGGGCTCCAGTGCTGTTCCCTGCAGTCGAACCTGGCCCCAGAACTGCCTGGAGATGAGAACACAGCGCTCAGTGGCTCCATCAGCCCTGCCTGCCAGGGCCTAGGAGTTCAGTGCCTATGGCCAGATGAGGGGTATGGACATGGGCAGGCCTGGAATCAGAGCTTCGGAGGATCTGCTCCTGTGTCTGGTAAGCAGGGCGGGCCCTCTCCTGCCCTCAGAGACCCCACACATAGATGGGCCTGCTATCTGCGCTCAGCAGCCTCAGTGACTAGGGGTCCCTGGAGTCAGAGTCTTGGGCCCCCGAGGGAAGTACAGAAAAGCACAGCCTTGATTTACACCCTGCTTTCGCCCCTCACAACCCACAAGCTCTGGATACTGTGCTTTCCTTTGTGTGCCTCTGTTTCCTCAGAGGAGTGTTAGGAAAAGGGCTCCGTCCACCACCAGCTGCTGCTCAGAAAGTGGCTGCTTCACTCCGCTATGGGTCCTGAGCCCCGCTGCTGCTGGGCAGGGGTAGCTGCTCCAGGGCTCAGGCTTGGGCAGGGCCTGCCCCCACCAGTGTTGGGAGTCCTCCCTCCCCGGAGAGAGTTGAATTGGAGTGCTCCTGCCAACTCCTCCCTCCTGGCTTGGCAGCCTGAAGACAACGCTGGCCAAAAATATTTGTGTGGGTGGCGGAAAGTTAACTTTTCCGCCTCTCTTGTCTTTCCTGGAAACCGTGGCCACCATCAAATACAGCAAAACAGAAGCAGGGATAGAGGGAGGCGAGGCCCCCGTGGGGAGTCAGAGAGCCCTGCCCCCCATGCCCACTCCTGCTGCCTCTCCATCTGGCTCTGTGGTGGGAGTGGGTTGGGGGCTGTGAGTGCTTCACATCACGAGAGCCTGCCATGCCAGAGTCCCGTGGCCCTCCAGCACCATCTGCCTCAGTGTGCATTCAGCCTCTGGGGAAACTGACTCCAGAATATGGAAGGCACCTGCCCAGCTCACTCAGCCAATCAGGTGTCTGGAATTCTGCCAGCCCTTCGTGAGATTCTCTGAAACTCAAACAGCAGCAGCCTGGTAGTAGCTCGTGAGTGGCACCAGCTGGGGAGGAGTGAAGGCCTGGAGCCATCTCTTCTGCATCCCTGGGTCCAGCTTCATGGTCAAGGAGACAGAGCTAAGTTTGGATCCCAGATCTGTCACTTTCTAGCTGCATTGCTTTACCTAGCTGAGCCTCAATTTCCTAACCTCTGAGATGGGATAATAATAAAGTATATGTCTCATACAGTAGTTGTGAGAATTTACAGCAATAACCTAACTGAAATATCCCAGGACAGGGTAGGTGGTCAGTATCCTGAGCTAACGTCCTTCTCCTGGGCTCAAGGCTGGCTGCTCTGTCCTGATTTTTCCTCCATGGAGGCTGCTGTAACAGGTGCCTGGTTATCTTTCTGATCCTGTCGTGTGTTTGCCTTTCCCCTGGTTGGCTCTGATTTGCCCTCATGCCTGGTAATGGGCTTATCTCTCTGCCTGCCTACCGGACTCCTGGCACAGCCTCAGCCAGGGGTCAGGACTGCAGCAGGGGGGGCCTGACCCCTGCTGGGCAGAGGTGTGGGCACCGTCACTGAAGCCAGGCCAGGCCCTGAGATTATCCACGTGCACAGAAGTTCTGGGGACCCAGGATTCTCACCATGCACAGGGCCGCCAGTGGGCATGCGTGCTTCTCCCTGCTTTTGCAACAGCATATGTGAGATTCAGAGTGCACACAGCTAAACACTGGTAGAATCAAGTCTTTAAACAAGGTCTGATTATTCCAAGGTTTCCTCCTAAGTGTAATTGCCATGAGCTCTGACTTAAGAGCTATCCGCCTTCACAAATGAGTCCCCAGCCTTTGTCCTCAGCCGGGAACTCTCCTGCTCTCCAGGCCCCCAAGTAAAACTGCCCCCTGCTCATCTTCCCTGGAAACCCAAAACAGCACACTCATCCTCCTGCCCACTGAGCACTTGCTCCTTCCCATTATTCCTAATCTCCTCTAACATCACTCTGTTGCCGGAGCTGGGAACCTGCACTGTCTCACAGAGCCCTCCCCTTCCTCCACTCCCACTCTCCATCTGCCTCCAAGCCCAGCCAGTCCTCCCCACAAACATCGCTCACGTCCATCCCCTCCTCCCAGCCCCCTAGAGGGAGCCTGCATCCCCTTTCCTTATTATCATCATCATTCTTAACCTTCATACATAATCATATAATTATTGTTGTTTTTCTTATCATTCACAGCTCTCCCCACCAGATTTTAAATCTTCATGAGCCAGATTCCCATATTTTCTTTATCCTCATCATTGCCACAGCAGTTTTTATGGTATCTGAAATAGAGTAGGAGCGTAAGAAGTTTTTGTGGAATGTGAGGATAGCCAGTACACGTTAAATTACACTTAGGAACTGTGCCGAGTCCTCCGCATGCATTTTCTCAGTTTGTCCTTAATGCAGCACTAAATTGGAGAGTGTTCTGTGTCTCCTACCTGAAAGTGCTCAGGACCGGAAATGATTTAGATTTCAAAGCTGGTCATATTTTGGAATGTATGTGTATACATAAAGAGCTATCTTATGGGTGGGACCCAGGTCCAAACCTGAAATTCAGTTATGTTTCACATGCACCTTGTATACAGTGGTACCTCGGTTTACAAACTTAATTTGTTTTATGATTTGGGGGAAGATGGCTATGTCTGTGTTTGAGTGGGGAAGATAGCCGTGGTCCTGTTGTTGTCCAATGCAGTGTTTGTGAATGGGAGCTAAATTTTTTTTTTTTTTGGTACAGGGAATCGAACTCAGGACCTTGCACTTGCCAGGCAGATGCTGTACCACTGAGCTATATCCCCAGCCCCATTTTTTTTTTTTTTTTTTTTTGATACCAGGAAATCAAACTTAGGGGAAGCTAAATTTTGCCCAATGCTTTTGTTTGCAAACCAAATTGTTTGCACACAGAAGCATTCATGAACCAAGGCATCGCTGTATATTGCCTGAATGTAATTTTACACACTATTTTTAGCATACCTGTGTTTTGATTGCAACCCACCACATGAGGTCAGGAGTAGAAAGTGAACTTGTGGCATCTTGTTGGTGCTCAAAAAGTTTTGGTTTTGAGAGAATTTGGGGTTTTAGAATTAGTGATGCTCAGCCTTTATAATTACAGTACACATTGTACAGGTGGAGAAGTGGAGGTTGAGACTGCCACACAAGTGGCAGAGCTGGGATTCTAACTCAGAGCCGGAGCCTGTAAGCACCCCCTCACACTGTGTGTCACAGTCTCCTCAGGGGGTGTCTGTCCCCAGTCCTTTATCCTCCACCCCACAATTCCTGTGATTCCTGTGGCGTATGTACCTTTGATGGAATGTAAGCGAGCTCTTTCTAGGTGGGGCCCAGATAAGTATTTTTAAATAAGTAGATATTTATTTAATGTGCAGGAAAAATGACTTGGCACAATATACTTGTGGTTTTCCTGTGATTATTGCTTAAGATAAGTCTAAAGTAATAAAAGCACATTATTAAAAGTTGAAGGGAAAATAGCAAGTCAGTAGGGTCAGGCAGCAGAAAGATATGGTACAAACCTAAGGTGTTTTGTGACTGAAGCTAAGGAAACACTTCCCTATGGAAGTGCAGGTCCTGAACCCCAATCCCCAGCCAGTTCTCAGGGCCACCCAAAGATGGACAGCTCTCAGAAATTCATCCCGGGACACCTACTGCACTGTCTCATGTCATTTCTTTTCTGCCCGTACAGATAGCCTGCCCTGAAGGGGCCTCACCTGCCAGAGGTCAAGAAGTATTAAGAAGGAGGTGTTGGGGCCACCACTTTGCCCAGGCAGCCAGCCAGGAAGGACTAATCTTACCTCGCAGCTGGACCTTGCCTCTGCTCTGTGGATCAATCAGCAGAGGAAGACAGATCTACAGAGAGCCAGAGGAGCGGCCAAGGGGAGCAGAGAGCAGGGCTCACACAGGTGGCTCCAGCCCAGGCCTTGCTGGCTTCTGTGTCACCAAGAAGAGGAGCATCATGCTGGGCCCTCACTTCCCACCCTCGCCCCTTGGGCCCAGAAAAGGAACACCTTCCCCCTGCAGCTTCCAGATCCCTGATGGGAGCTACAGGTGTCTGGCCCTGGAGGCGGAGGAGAGCAGCAGCGAGGAGGGCCTGCAGGGAGAGGCGGGGCTCATGGAGCTGGAAGAGGATGAAGTGGCCTGCACAGCCACACAAGGGGTGCCACCGCTGCCCAGAGTCCTGGGCACTCAGCCATCCAGCTGCGCCAGCGAAGCACGAGGGGGGACCCAGCATGACAACAGGGCTGGCCAGGACTGGGATGTGGTGACAGCCCGGCGGGTGATGATACCCAGCCCCAGCGCTGGCCCTGAGCTCAGGGTGGGCCAGAAGCCAGGTAAGTATGCATCCTTCTCTCTGGAAAGACAGGAAACCCCAAAGGCCCTTAACATTTGCCTTGGGCATATGTTCCGGTGATGGATAATAATCCATCTCATCTCGAGAGCGTGCCCAGGTTAACAGCTGTGGAGAGATAGGAGCGGCTGCAAGTTACATGCCGTCCCATCTGTGCCACATCCAACCCCACTTTTGTCTCTGCCGAAGAGCACAGGTGAGAAGGCAGCAAGAGAAAGCCATGTTATCATGCATGCTTGGAAAAAAGTCCATTTCTCACTCTCACCTGCCCTTTGGTTGTTAGTGGTAACAAGTCACCATAAAGCCCCAAGAATCTGATGTGGAAGGACCCAAAATTAGACATACTCAGGCAAGCTAGGGTGTGACACCAGACAGGACAAACGTGTCACTACCCTTGCTGAGTTGGCGGGGTAGAGGGGGTGCCTCTGAACTCATAGGGATCTTTGTGGAGACACTGAGGCCTGGAGAGAGCGAGAGTGCTACAGGTCCTCCGCAGAGTAGGGGCTGAGCTGGACCCATGTTCTGCCCCTAGGCCTCGGTTTCCCATCTGTTAGAGATGACAAAGGCAAAGGCCACGTCACCTGGGTGGCACTGGGATCCAATGACAGCTACAGGGAACACTCCATGTGCAGCACGGAAGGAAGGCGCAGGGATCATTTTCCTGCAGGGCGGGCGCGGCAGTGTGCAGTGCAGGGCGGGGCCGGGAAACCCACACTGAATCACCTCCACCACCGGCCCATGGAAACGCTGAAGTGGGTCCAGATGGGGAAGACGTGAGCAGGGCCATGCTCAGCTCAGCAGGAGCTGCTGCCAGCAGATCCTGGGGGTGCAGGGTGTGGGGGAGACACAGTCCTGGGAGGGCTTGTGCGTCAGGAAACCGAAAGAACACTTTATTTCTCTGCAGGCATCGCTGACGCCCTGGCTGGCATCTCACCAGCCTTCCCGCCCACTCTGCTTTCTGAAATAATTCTCTCCAGGCTCTGATCACTCCCCATGGACAGAGTTCCTGCCCAGGTTTGGGTCACACAGGGAGCTGGGTGGGAGAAAGAAGAGACCTTAATGCCTCTGGGGTGGGCCGGATGAGCCCAGGGAGACTCAGCAGTCCTGGATTGCCAGGCAAATATGGGTCCCCTGGAACCCAAAGCCCCCAGGACCTGCTTCCTCCCCTTGCACAGACTCCAGCTGGGGTCAGGAGACAGGGAAACTGCTTCTGCACCCAAAGCCTGCTGGTCAAACCCTGGCAAGTTCTTTCCCCTTGGTGAGCTTCCATTTTTTCGTTTGTGAAAATAAATTAAAAACATAAGCCCTATCTACTGGATAGAGGCGCCGAGAGGTTGCAGTGATCTCAGATGTGGCGGTGTTTGGGACATTTTACAATACTCTAGGTAGGAATGCTGATGATAATTGAGATGATCATCATTAGCTCAACAGTACAACAGCTGTTTGTTGAGCCCTGATGTGCTAAGCCCACTATGCCAAGAGCTTTAATATCATTTCCTTGACCTCATAGCGATCTCCGTAAGGGAACACACTGTTATTATCACCATTATATAGAGGAGAAGACTGAAGTTCAGAGACTATAAGTGACTTGTCCAAGACATGGGGCTGGCAAATTCCTACACCATGATTCAAGCTTGGTGTTTTAAATGTGGGGCTTGTGCTCTTCTGGCCTTGTAAGTGTTATTTGTGGACATGCAGAGTAGAAGAGACCATGGATGGAGAGAAGAGAAGCAAGGGTCACCTCCACTGCACCCCAGCCACATCTCACAGCGAGCTGGGTTACTGAGAGGTCTCTTGTTCTCCTTGTTTTACTATAGCTTTTCCGGGCAGGAATTATTTTCCCTATTTTATGAGAGAGACAGCTGAGGCTTAGGGGTATATATTGCCTTCCCAAGGCCACATGGTCTCTACCAGCATGGAAGCTGATTGAGAATGGTTTTCACCAATCTGGTCGTTTCTCTCTTTAATGGCCATCCAGTTGGCCATCCGGTTCTGGACCAAACATTCTAGGGACAAGAGGGGCAGGAGTACCCTCAGGAGGACAGCATGGACAGGGGAGGCTTCTCAGAGGTGAGGGCAGGAAGGAAGCTGGATCTTGCCAGAGAGTCAAACTCCGGGCGGTCCTGGGTCACAGCCACGAAGGGCTTCCTGCTCCCTGGGGAAAGGGTGTGGCCAGAGTCCCTCCCCTCTGCCTGGAGAGCCACAGAAAAGCCTGCGGCACTGCTGGGTTATTTATTAGTGGCTTATGGTTTCCTTGTAAAGCTTTCTCCCATCACTGTCAGAGATTAGAAGAATCTCTGGACAATTACACCCATCCTTCTGCAACTGTACCCACCTCTCTGGAGTGCGGCATTAGCTACAGGCTGTGGCATAGGCTGCCTTGGGCTCTGCAGAGACTTGTATTTGAGGTCAGTGGTACTGATGCCTTTTCTCTAAGATTTGAGTACCACTCAAGCAGGGCAAGCTGAAAGGGGATGGGCTGCAGGGAACTGAGGTGGGCAGCGGCCTGAAGCTCAAGTTTCTTACCCCCAGCGGCTGCCACTTGGGAGAATATCTGTGGGAAGGAAAGTGTAATACTGGGCTCATAATCAGGCCTCAGCCAAACACTAGCTAGTCCATTGCTCGCTAAGAGACCTAGCGGTCCTCTTCACAAAGTCACAGTTGGTCATAACTGGCAGGGCTCACTGAGATTACTGGGCATGTGGAGACTCTGAAGCCCAGAGATGCTAAGCAATTTGTCCAAAGTCACACATAAATTGGTGGCAAAACTAAAGGCTGGAACTCCGGATGTCCCAGTTCAGCTGGCAGGCTGTACGTTAAATGCTTTGTATGGATGATATCATCTCATCTAAAAAGCCTTGTGAAATGTATACTTTTCTTATCTCTGTGTTGTAGAGGAGGAAACTAAGGTATAAGAAACTTAAATGAATTGTCAGTCTCCCAACTTGGGGGTGGAGGAGCCAGGATTTGAACCATGAACGGTCTGGGACTATGCTTTTAAGCACACTCTCTCCATGGAGAAGAGGCAGTAGGCTGTGCTCTCCCATCCACTTGGAGGTGGAAAAAGGTCCTTCAGGCTCTGAGAATAGGTGGGGGATTTGGCCTCTTTAGCTGCCCTGGGAAAAACCTGGGACCCACTGTGATCCAGGCTTTCCTTTGCTGGTGGCCATTTGTTATTGGGGTGGAGATATCTAGAGGATTGGCAGGACCAGGCAGGTGCTGTGTCTCTGAGCTATATCTCCAACCTTGAATTTGTAGGACCTTCTAGTCCAGCAGACATTGCTCTGAGCCTCAAGGATGGGGATGCGCAGGGGCATGGGTCTAGGTGTCAGATAAGGCCCACCAGGGCCACATCCATCTTGCTGAGGCAGAGGAGCTGCCCCCAGGCTGGCAGCTGACAGGGTTCCTGGGCCAAGGACAGGTTCTGCTACTTGGGCTCCTGGGAGACAGGATGGGCAAAGCAGGAGGCTGGCAGGAAGCAGAGCATTGCCCTTTCCACTCCCCACCCCACTGTGGCTATAGCAGGGGCTGATCTGTGCTCACACACAATCCCTTGCACCCATGGGCACACATGTGTGCCCCCAGGATGCCTATATCCCTGTTCTCATGCAGAAATTTTCACACGTCTGAACTTTCATACCTGCATACGTGTGAGTACCTTCAGATGTTCACACAGCTCTGCAGTGGACAGACATGGGCAAACATGTTCCCAAAGGCTCCCTCGCCCACCATGCCTATCACATGGGGACACGTGTCTCAGACTGACTTGCAGAGGTACAGCACCACATGAAAACACTGAGCAAGCATGTGCACGCTTCCTCATACAGGCACTCGTGTCTCCTCCTGCAGGAACAGGCTAAAAGCATGTTCTGTTTTCCATTTTCCTTTGCAGCACACCTACACTTTGAAAGCTCTCTTGCATTCATAGTCTCTCCTACAGGTATATCCGTTCTTGCACACCCACTGCCACACACCTACGTAAAGGCCGCACCACTTTCTCTCCTTCTTTCCCCATCTCTTTCTCTTTCATGCCCGCCCACACAGTAATCCTAGCCTCTCTCTCTCCCTGTCACCCACACTGTTTGTTTCCTGGTTTCCCACCGTCATTGCTGTAGCTACTCCCCAGCACATGTGCTCAGTGTAAGCAGCACCCTGCCTGGTGACAATCTGCAGGACCCAGTTCCTGTCCCCTACCTTGGTACAATAGGACAGGAGCAGCCACAGGGTCAGAGGCACTCTCTGGAGCCCATGAGGCCAGGCAAAAGGACAGGAGTAGCCAGAGAGGGCTTGTCTCCTCAGTCACCCGACCTTCACCTCTGAGTCCGCCCACGGGGACAGGGAATGTCCTCAACCCCAGCACCCATGGGCCCATGTTTCAGAGTGGGGGGTGGGCATACATCAGCACATTTCCAACTTCCTGTAGCGGAAATCTAAACACTGCTCTTGATGCAAAAGACAGAGGAGCATTTCTTCACCCTGCCAGAAGCAGGGAGAAACCCAGGGAAATGCCATGGAAACCAGGCTACCACTTTCTCAAGCCTGGTCCAACTTATGTGAAGGGTGCTTGTTAGCGGTCATGTTTCCAAGCTCACCCACCCCTCCCCACGGACAGTCTCGGGAATGTGGGAATATGGGCTTTTACCAGCATCTCCTTGACTGATGCGCAGCATGGACCACTGCCCTAGACAGGGCACAGACAGGCCTGTTCCCAGCTCAGTATCAACGGCGTGCCCTTTAAGGGGACAGTGGCACTCAGCCCCACCGAGGCCATACAGCACCCCGACCTGCTGCTGACCACTGACCAAGTCGGGGGACAGCAGCAAGACGGTGGGAGGGAGCGGCCCCCTCAGCCCCACTGTGCCTATGCCCTACCAAAGGAGAGGTACTGGGGCCCCTGAGGCTGAGGTGAAGGGGTTGGAGCACACGGGCCGGAGGGGTACTGCATCTGGGTGGGAGGTGGTGTCGCCTGGGAGGACAGATCCA